CTAATGAGCACCTTTCCCTATTTTATACCCTTGAATCATTTTATCTAATAAGGATAGAGGCTTCCCTGGGGAGGTGAGCCAAGTACATTTTACCTTTGCATTCCCCTCACTCAAAATATACACATACATAACACTTATGTCTCTTCCTCCATTCCACCACTTCAACATCTGCACAACTTCAAACTCCAGTGCTTTGCACAGGACGAGTATAATATTTACTTGTTAAACAACTCAGCATATCACTGTATTTGACAGCACTTCTGTGAACAGGAGGATCATACCAGTAAAGAGAAAATACACACCAGGATCTGGTCAATAACTAAAGCTCAGCTGCACAGTCTATTTCTTTCTCATTCCTCTCTCCTTAGCAAAGAGGATATTGAGATCCTATTCTCCCAGCACCCCAAGTAAAAACCCAGGCTGTTCACTACCATAGGAAGCAAAAGGATGACACCCGAAAGAATAGTCACTAAGTCTGCCCATTACTTAGTGAGAAGGTCAGCAGAGCCTTCCTCCTAGGGCATGACAGAAGTATCCAGAAAGTCCCCTTCACACACACACGTGCACACACACACGCACATGGGCAAGCCTGTGCCCCTGACAGTTCCCTTTGCAGATGTATAAAAGATTTGGAGCAGCAGATGTTTTTTTAATTCCTTCTTGCCATTTGCTGGTTGTATGACTTTGAGAAAATTACATAAGCCCTCCAAAGAGATAGAATAAGGTGATGTATATGTCAAGCTGTGATTACAGAGCTGATCCTCCACCAGTTCAGCAGTTTATTCCCCTCCTCATCCTTCAGAAGGAAGGTTAGAACAGACCTAGAACAGAAATACATTTTCCTTCAACATTTTTTCAGTTATTTATTTTATTTTTAAATTTTTTACTGTATTTTTTATTTCCATACATTAACAATACAAGGAGATTACATTGTGTTATTACCATACATGCACACAGTATACCTTGAACAAGTTCATCCCCTCCATTCTATTTTACAGTTATTTAGCAGGTAGTACATATGATAAAAAATTTTTTCCTAAGTGTGTAGGGCAAGGTTTCCTTCCTACCTTTACAGCCACCTGGTTCTCTCCAGAGGCAACCAGTGCTTCCAGATGTGTATGTACCCTTCCATAGTTATTCTACGCACACACCAGCAAATGTGTGTGTCAATACCTTTACTTTTATGGATATGTTCTCCTCTGACACAAGTAGCTGTGCACCTGTTTTGAGTCATTTTCTTTCTGTTTTATCTGGGAGATTTCTAATATTTACACTGAGACTCTTAATCTCTTTATAGCTGCAGAGTATTCCACTATAAAGCTGTATCATAGCTTGCTTATTCTATCACACGCTGATGAGCTATTTAGATTATTTCCATACTTTCGTTATTATAATTCATGCCATAATGAGCATTCTTATGCATCTGTTACTTTGTACATGCATGACTGTATTAGTAGAATAAATTTCTAAATGATGAATTTCTGGGTCACAAGATATGTAAGGAGGATATATGTGTAATAATGATGAACTTGGTCAGTTGGATCCCCAAGAGTCTGTACTAATTTATCCCCCTAGCAATGTGTAGAAGAGCTGAGTCTCTAAGCACTTCTTAGAGCTCCAAATGTCATGTTTGCCAGAGTTATTCAGCTTACATTGTGTGTGTGTGTGTGTGTGTGTGTGTGTGTGTGTATCTGTATGTGAGAAAAGATTGTTGATGGTTAAGACAAGCATGAGAACCATGATATAGGGAATTATCACTGTTCCTCATAATCCTCCAGTATGAAAGTGTAACAGAGAAAATAAGACTGCTTTACACCCTACAAGAAAATCCTTAGATATGCAATGTTGAGAGAATGGCTCAGCTGGAAGAAATGGATTGGGTAGAAAGAGCTCAAAGGAGCAGGAGTGAGGCCAAGGTATAAGGAGATGAGATACAGTTCCATAGCTCCCAAGGTCAGATAGAGTTCCCAGAAGGTCAGATCATTTGATGCAACTTTAGGTGTTGGTATGTGCTATGCCCATGCTAGTGCTAGGAATGCAGAATGCACATGACCGGCCCCTTCCCTCAAGAAACTCATCCAGAGAAGCCAGGAACAGAGGCAGACAATTTTGACATATGTGATAGAAGCAGCAGCAGTGGTGACCGCTAACTCTGAGAGCTTCTTAAATGTCAGATGATGAACTCAGCACTGTTTATCGTCTCACATAATTATTCAAAAACCTGCCAAGTGTAATTAGTGTTATCTCCTTCTCATATATGAGAAAACCAAGTCCCAGAAAAGTTGAAGGATGGCCTAACACCACACAGAAAGTGGCAAAGCCAGGGTATAAACTGAGATCTGTCTTACTTCAGAGATGATGTCCAACACACTAAGGGCTAAAAGTCTATTTCCCTCCTGGTCCTCTCAATAGCCTTCTCTTTATAGCACCACACTACATCTCAGATGTTTGTGTGGAAGTGATGGGAGGGTAAGTAAGGAAAGAGTCTCAGAGAGTGATACAGTCTAAAGTTTGAAGGATAAGTGGAAACAAAAAGAACATTCCTCTTGGCTTCACGTCAAAAAGAGCCAACTTTCAAGAGTCAAGAAGAATGTAGAAGAAGGTAGGCAGGTAGGGTGGCTGAGAGGGCAGCCTCTGCAGCCAGACTGCCAGTGTTCAAATCCTGACTCTGCCTCTTGTAAGCTCAATTACTTTGGGCACATCCCTTAACCTCTTGGATTCTTCACCTGTAAAATGGGACTAAGCCCTTATCTGTAGGTTGTTATAAGGATTGAATGAGTTTGCGTATCTAGGGTATTTAGAAGAGTGCCAGCACTATTTTTATTTACACTGTAGACTCACCAGGCTCCAGGTAAATACTCAATGGAAGGAAGAATGAAACAAAACTTTGGAGTTCTCCTGTGGTGCGTATTCTAGAGAACTATTACATGTGCTCGGAAGATATAAAATGGTGCTATAAAAAGAGAAGGAAGCAGAGAACCATTTAATGGGAGAGGAACATGGGCTTTTAGTCCCCAGTTGTCCCATCAAGCAAGGTCATGCTTATCAGCACTCAGTTATCCTCTGAACTTGTGAGTCAAAATGGGATTTTTATTTGTTGTCTATTTCTTTATGACATCTTTATTTGATGTTAAAATGTAACGGCCTGTCTCAAATCAGGTGAAAAAGCTGAGAAGGACAAATATGACAAGAATCACATTTGATGTAACTTTGGTTTTCTCCTTTTCCTCTTTGATGCCATAAAATGTCTTCAGAAAACCTGTGAGAAAATATAAGATAAATGCTTTAGCTTCCTCAGTGATTCTTGTAGCATATACCTCTCAACCACCAAGTCAAATTACTTCTCTCAGAGAACCACAGTCTATGAGAGACTCCAAGAGAAGTAAAGATGGGAAGAAAAACTTCTCCAAGGAGTCAGTTCCCATGATTTATTTACTGTCTCCATATTCACTGGCCTTTATCTCCTTTGTTATCTCAAACTCACATTTCCAACCCTGCTCCCAAACTGAACCCCATCCCTGGACCACCCTCCCTCTAGGTCAATTTTATCTCTTCCTTTTGTCATTTGAACAACTGCTGAGAATCCGTCTTCTGGAAGAAAAACGTGTAACAATTTCCCCGGTGCAACCCCCACGACCTCATAAATCCTTATATATCAACCACTCACTACATCCTAGAGCTGCAGAATTTAGGATTCCACCTTCGATCCTGAGTCAGCTCACTCTTATGTAAGAGAAAGGACATACAGAAGGAGGTTGGTGCTGCTCTTCTCTGCTATCAGTCATGTCCATTTCACCACTAGACTATAAGCTTCCCAAGGACAAGGATTTTTTTCTGTTTTGTTTATCAAGGTTTCATCAGTACCTTACAGAGTGTCTCTGAAAACATCTGATGAACAAATGTAAACAAATAAATGACAGTACAGAATGATCAGTAAGTTGATATGCTTGCAAGAGAAAAAATAATACAGAGGAAAGAGTACTGAACTTTGAGGGAGCACGAGTGCAGTTTGAGGGGCGAAGAGGCTTGCTGGAGGAAGTGATTTCAGAACTGAATTTGGGGGTTGTGGCTGTCAACATTTATGTCTTCGCGTGGTATCCAGCTTACAGGAGGAACCCAATAAATGTACAGTTTATCAATTGATAAACTGTATGAAATAGTGAAATTTACCATATTGCTAGTATTCTACCATTTATTACATTTCTGGAATTGATTCCAGATTCAGCCACTTCATTCTAGAGTATATGTCCCTGAAAGTTCTATCTGTTATCTGAAAAACTTCTCAATAGGATTAGAACACCTTTTGAAAAGGCCAAGTGTGCGCATGTATGTCTGTGTGTGTGTATGTGTGTGTGTGTCTGTGTGTGTGTGTGTGTGTGTGTGTGTACCCTTCACAGACTTTTGAGACTGAGCCACTGGCTGAGAGAGAAAGCTATCTTAAGTGTATCCTTTATTTAAAAAAAAAAAAGAGTCCCATCCAGGAAAGAACATAGGAAAGCAAGGGAAAAGATGAGAGAGAACTCTCATCTCACCCTGAGCCAGACCAGACCTCATTCTACCTAACTTCTATATCCACCACCCAAGCCAGTTCTACCTTAAAACTCCTGGAGAAGCATGTGATTATGGTATGTGAGGGGTCAGGATAAAAGACAAGAAGAGGTGAAAATGTGATGGATTTTTATTTGAATTTATTTAAAAACTTTACCAAAAAAACAAGATATAAGACCCAGACTTGTGATTAGTTTGTTTTAGGGTTTCTTAATTTCATTTAGCTCCAACTCCTTCCTGCCATAATGATAGTAAGGTCAGGATTCTGAGAACCAAAACTACTTAGACCTGTGAGCCTGCGGCACTGGTGTGATCTCTGGGCTCTGTCAAGCTGTTCCAGACACACCCTCTAGGACTGCCTCAGAACCTCCACTGAGCAGCACCAAAGTCTGACAAACAGGTTCCTCTCCTCCAATTAACCCTCAACTTGTGTTTTCAATGTGTGCATGCAGCTTCATCATACACAACAAAGACACTTTCTTCAACAATGCCACGAGAAGTAGAATTGTGCATCATATTTTACAAAGAATAAAGTATGAAGAAGGGAAAAACAAAATCGGTAAGTACTATGTTAGTATTATAAATTACTTTCGGTCTTTGGGGACCATTGACTTCTTCCCTTGGCTTTGTTAAGTTTGAATCAACTCTAGAAGTGCTTATCCTTTATAAAATCCCTACCTCCTCCTTAGATGGATAATTTATGAATTTATACTTATGAGTATAAAGTTTTCACAGCATCCATTTAAATGCAGATGCTATCTTATTTAGCTAAGATCATAGAGAAATTCTCTGAATTCAACAAACACTTACAGAGCACCTAATGTGTGCCAGGCACTGAGCAAGATATTAGGGAGATGAACACACAATAAATAAGTAAATAAAATAAGTAACATGAAGAAATTTAAAAGGGTGATGATACAGAGATAGACTAAGCTAACTAAGATGGGGTGGTCAAGGAAAGCCCCCACTGAGAAGGTGAAATATGAACTGAGACCTGAATGGTAAGGAACTAACATGGAGAGATGGGAGGAATAGAGTGTTCTAGGCAGAGGGGACTGCAGGTACAGAGATGAGTCATCACACATAAGGTACTTTTCCAAATAATCATGTCCCCATTAAGCAGCCTCCACCATTTATACCTTAGGTATTTTTATGAGAATCTTGCCATATTATGCCATAAAATTTCCTGCCTTATTAAACAGGTTATTGTATATCATAAAGGTTTGGGTGGCTCTGTTCTTATTTCTGTCCTAGGAAAAAAATTTTATTGGTAGTTTTAATAATGATCTGTAACTGTCAGGGTGCAATGAAGAGACAAAAGTACCTATAATCTGAACATGGAAAATTTAAGATAAATAATTAACTATGACAGGAGATTGGAGCCGTGGAGGAGTGGCTAGGCAAGGGCAAGAAGAACTCTAAATTATAGAATAGCAGATATCAGTAGTCTTTCCTGACAAGACTGAGTTCCAGACTGTTGGCAGAGGTGCAGCCATGGCAGAACAGTTTGCTGGGAACTTGCTAAGAATCTGCTCTGTGGAGTACTGGGCAGAGCTACCTGGGAAGTTGTTCCTTGGGAGCTGTGGCACCAGCAACATGGCTATGAGGCCACCCACAAGGATATCAGGAAAAATGCCCTTGGGAGTGAGTGTCATGTCCTGATGACCACCACACACTGCAGAGCTGGGTGCGATAGCAGTGGGTACTGCAGAACCCTGCTGAGAGAAGCCTAAGTTATCAGGAAGAGCAGCCCTTTCCTCCATCAGTGTCCCTTCAGTGCATTCTGCTGACAAAGCTTCACATTGTATCCTCTGACAAAGTGAAAAGTTCACAAGGTCCAGCTCCATTATTGCAAAGCAGGCAATGAAGGTACATTTGGAGCTGAGGGGCAATAAATTGATAACTGACACATAGCCTAAATAGTTTGTTCACCAAGCTTTCAGGTGGGGCAAGGCTAGAAGGACATATTAAATGTGTTAGCCATTAGAGTCAGGAACTTCAAAGATCTCAGTGGGCCAAAACTCTCAGCCAAATCCAGCAAGATGACATTTAACAGTTTACAAATGTAAAGTCCTACACTCAAATTCAGCAAAACAACTACCCCGGTGGAGTGTGGGAGAAATGTTGCTCAACAACATGGTGAGAGGAACAGATTTGAGAGATGAGTTGAATGCAAGCTCAGTGTGAGTCACTAGCCTAAAGAAGCTGCCAAAAAAACTATTTTGATCTCAAGCCTGCATAAATTAAAACATTATAGGGAGAAACAGATAGCTACCGAGCCCAGGTCTGAAAACACCTGGAATATTGTATTCAGGGAAAGTTAGTGCAGGTGGGGATGGTGAATCAAACCTAATGTGGGTCTTCCTTCACTCTGATGGGATTGCTGTTGAACACATCCCATATTCTTCGTCCTTTCATCCCTGAAACAAATCCTCTCCATAGAGTCCTCTGTGACCATTCTGATATGGAGGGATACTTCCGGCTTCTAAATTTCCATGACATGTTTTTGGAGTATTTATTTCATATTTATTCACATACAACTCTTTATTGCCTTGAATTGCTTTCAATGTCACTGTGCAAATTTATCACCTAAAAAGAACCATGGTTGATATTTTGTTTCCTAAATGATTTAAATATTAGCTCAGTTATGTTTTTCATGTTAATTCCTGACTCTTTCATATGACTTTTTAAAACAAACTTGAGTGGGACTATATATACCTTTTATCATACTTTTTTCAGTTAATGTTATATCATGAAAATACTAGAAAACACATGAGTGAATGGAACTTGTGGCAGTAGTTATTCTACATTATTTCATAAAGTGTGAATAACTCAAAAAGCAGGGCCTTCACTAATATTGGTATTATCACTTGCAGCATACCTCACAACTCATATAACACATGAGTGTATTGAGAATCTGCTGCTTAAAAACTATTAGTCTAGATAATGAGTTCATTAGCTGGTGAATAAGCTGCCTTCTTCATCTTTGCACCATCATCACCTAGCAGTGCCTGGCATATAGAAGGAGTTTAATAAATTCTTGTCAAACTGAATTGAAGAGCTTTTAAACATAATTAATGTCTCACTGTCAGCATCCTTACACAGTTAAATACTGTGTATGGTTAGGCCATGTAGCAATTATTGTACTTAATTTTTTACCTCAATTATGAGCTGTTTTTACAACTAGTCAAGTGGACATAGAAGAAGGGCAGAGACAGTGACTTTGCACGGTTCTGAAGGAGCACTGGAAATGTAACATAGGGTTGTCAGTGAGAATAAGTCTTTGTAAAAGGATTTCTCAATTGATGAAAGAAGGAGGATTCTATTCAAACAGTTCAATGCCTTGAAAATTGGTAAAGATTAAATGGAAACATGTTTAATTAGAAATAACCAATGACAAGATAAGTTGTTAAACCAGGATCATGCATTGTGCTGAAAAATCTAGAGTAAAACTACAAATGGGCCAATACTGACCAGTATTTCATTGTCATCTTTGCTTTTATAATAAAAGAAAGAACAGGTTAGAAGAAAATTTAATTTCTTTATAGAATTAATGCCTACCCAATGTTATTTTCTGCCTGAAACACTTTCTGAAAGTGTCACCTTGCATGAGTCAACATTGGTTAGAAATAGCACAAAAATATTGATTTGTAGACATGATTCATAAAGGTATTTTGTGGAGTGTAAACTGCACTATGTAATGTTTTCAACCTTACTCTGAATTTATTACAACAGTGAAAATCAAACACAGCAAACCCCACTTTCAAAATTGGGATTAATGGTTCAATAAAGATTTATTTAACTATATGTGTGTCTACAATAAATCTTGAAATTGATTTCTGTGTTCAAAATTTATGTTCAGAGGTGAAGTTAGTCAAGTGATAGACTTTAGATATTTGCTATTTTCTCACTTTGAGGGATTTTGATAAATTATCATAAACTTACAAAGGCCATCCTCAGAGTCTCTAATTGGGCCCCTGTAAATCCTATTTTTTCCAGTATCAGAATGTTTGAAAGTTATTGATGAGGTTTGTGGAATTCTCAACAGAGATTCCTAGAAATCAGAGCTTTCTATGTAATCAATAATTTATTTTTTTCATTGCAAAGGCATATAGAAAGGGCTTCCTATATGATGCACATACCAATTCCTACTAATATTTGTGTTTCAAGTACCTTTCTTAGATATTTAGTGTGAATGTCAAGCAGCCTAAATACATTCGTGTGTTACTGTGATTAAAAGTATCCAAGCACTGACTGAGTCCCCATCAATAAGAGTTGGGGCACTACATGTGCCGTTTTCCAGCTAGGCTAAACCTTTGGATCCTGGTCAGGATCTAAAGTTTAGAGAACATTCCTCTTAGAAGCTGCCAAAAATATATTAATCTAATCATCTCCTTTGAGGTTCATTTTAGGAAGCAACATAAATCTTGATCTGAAAGCAACTTTGAAGGTCAACACATTAAACTTACATTCCTGGCCAAGGTGGAGGAGTAAGTACAAGATTTACTCTTCCACCCAACCCCCCTCCAAAAAAAAACAGATAAAATATATGAAACATTTTCAAGACACTGAACATGGAAACCAAAAGTAGGGATCCTTGAGAGATAAAATCAATGGCCACTGAAGTGATGGATAGGTTGGCCACCTTGGTTGTATTAATGGTCTCCTGTGTATGCCTATGTCAGAACTTATCTGATTGTGCCTCTTAAATATGTGCTGTTTTTTAAAGGTCAGTTATGCCTCAATCTGTTTTTTTCTTATATCTTAATAAAGTTGCTTTTTAAAAGATCCAGATATCCACTCAATCCCCCATTTTATGGATAAGAAAACAGAGGCCCAGGGACAGGAGAACTTTTTCCAAAGTCACACGACCAGTCCAGTGCAGAGGAGTCACGGTTTCCCCACAGTGAAGCTTATGGGTGAACGTAGAGCTCCTAGCAAGAAGCCATCTTTTATTTGTTTTTTTCTTATTTATTCATATGTTCATACATTGAAGAAGCATCTTTTTTTAATGAGGCTTTAGTCTGTTCCTCTCAGAGCAGTCCCTCCCAATGCAAGCACCATCATAGATGTGCTTTGTTGTTTGGAAACCTGATTTCCAAAAATTTCTTCCACAGCAATGGAAAAGGATCAACAAAATGAAAAGACAACCTAGAGGATGGGCTGAATAAGGTGTGAATATCCAAAATATGTAAGAAAGTTACATAACTCAATGGCAAAGAACAAAAAGCTTGATTTTAAAAAGGACTCGATAGACATTTTCCCAAAAAAAAACACAATTGGCCAACAGGTACATGAAAAAGTGCTTGTCATCACTAATCAAAGAAAAAAACACAATGAAATGCCATCTCACACCTATTAGAATTAGAATGACTTTTATCAAAAAGACAAGAGATAAGTGTTGGGACAGTGTAGAGAGAGGAGAACCCTTGTACACTGTTGGTAAAATTAAATGACACAGACATTATGGAAAAGAGTTTCAGGGATCACACAAAATTAAAAGTAAGGCCAGATATGGTGGTACATGCCTGTAATTCCAGCAACACGGGAGACAGAGACTGGGAGGATTGCATTTGAGGCTTGCCTGGGGGAAAAATGTTAACAAGACCTGATCTAAACAAATAAGCCAGGCATTGTAGCTCATGCTTGTCATCCCAACTTCACAGGAGGTACAGATAGGAGGATTGTGTTCAAGGCTGGCCTGTGCATAAAGACAAGACCCCATCTGAAAAATAACTAAGAGCATAAAAGAGCTGAGGACGTGGCTCAAATGGTAGAGTGCCTGTCTGGCAAGCATGAGACCCTGAGTTTAAACCCCAGGATAATGAAAATAAAAATAATAATATTACTACCAATAATAATAAATTAAAAGTAGAACTATCACATCCTATAGTCTCACTTCTGAGTAATATCCACATGAAATCCACATATTGAATAGACATCTGCACCCCATGCTCATTCTGCATTATTCATCATAGCCAAGGTAAGGAAATAACCTAAGTGTCTATTGACAGATGACTGCATGAAGAAATCACGGCGGATATATACAGTGGAGTATTATTCAGCCCTAAAAGGAAGAAAACTCTGTCTTTATGACAACATGGATGAACCTGGAAGACACCTTGCTAAGTCAAATAAGTTAGGCACAGAAAGACAAATACTACATGATCTCCCTTATGTGTAGAACCTAAAAAAGGTCAAACTTATAAGAACAGAATGGTGGTTGAGTGACTACAACATGGGGAAAATGGGACACTGTTGGTCAAAGGGTATAGGTTCAGTTATAAAATGAATAAATTCTGGGGATCTAAAACACAGCATAAGTGGAGATGGATGTGTTAATTAATTTGATTATGGTAAATAGTTATCATGACACAATGTATATGCATATCAAATCATCACACAGTAAACCTTGAATATAGTCAATCTTTATTTTTCATACTGTAATTCATTTTATTATCAGCACTTCCAATATTTTATGCAGACAAAAATAAATAACATAAAATACATAACATACTTTGATCATTTTAACTATATACGAAATACGAATGGGAGGCTGGCGACATGGCTCAAGTGGTAGAGTGCCTGCTTGGCAAGCTTAAGGCCCTGAGTTCAACCCCCAGTACCACAAAAGAAAACGCTTTGTCTTCCTTACTATGCTTATGTCATTTCTTCAACAAAATTAGTGATAAGGGCAGAACAGGACCTGCCTGGAACTGAGGCGGAAGGGGGGGGAAGAGTAGGGGATGGGAGCAGAGTAGAGAAATGACCCAAACAAATATGCACATGTGAATAAATGAAAAAAATTTTAAAAATAAATAAACAACAACAACAAAAAAAACACCTGATTTCCACCCTTAATCCCAATTTCCTAAGCTTTCTTTCTAAACTGTTGGTGTCCCCAAGTGTATTGAATCACTTTTGAAAGCCTAGATTTGTTTTCCAGGAAGTTCTCTCCTTACGTTAGTCTCCAGTGTTGTGAAGATCCAGATTCAGTACTAATCCGAGTGGGCTTCGTTGTTGCTTTAGGTTTGAATCGCTTGCTTACCAATGGCTCCTATGAAGCTGCTTTCCCCCTGCACGAGGTATGGTGCTGCCTTTTCTCCTGCCATTCTTTTGATTCCTTGCTACTACTGTTGGCTTCTAGGGAGAGTCATCAATTCAATTTGTTGATATGGCATTTGTTCAGAATGAATTTAATTTGTTTAATGGGTTATTAGGGAGGGTCTTGCACCCTTGGAGCGATCCCTCAGCATCGATTTATTTTTATATATCACTTTATGTAATTGAAAGAATACTTAAATCAAAAGTTACTCAGCTTGAATTCAGAGCAATGGCTTTAGGGGCTCAAGTCATGCAATTAAAAAGGCATTTCCAATGAGGCACCAGACAGAGGGCAAATGTTCTTAAACATTATAACCTTTGTAATAACTAAATTTATAGCTGTTCATTGAAAGAGTGAGAGCAAGCCATTTTGCAAAATCTCTGATAACCAAAGGATGATACATGAACGTTCTTATCCTTGTAAGATGTACAAATGTTAATATTTACTTCATGATAATGATATAAATGACCTTCACCAGTGATTACCCTTAATTTCATTTTCCTTAGTGATCTTGGGTTCTTTAACCCACAATCCTATCTATACCTGGGTTTTTAGGAATATAATACTCTTGATTATTGAGGGGTTGTTGTCATTTTCGTGATAAAAACCCAACTCTCTATGAATCAACATATGACCCAAAGAGTACAAAGATAAATGTCATAGCTCTTGCCTTTTGCCATCTCACAAACTAGCCAGGGTGAAACTGTTGGCCAGTAAACTTTGGAAGGCAGTTCCAACTCTCCATAAATGGCAAGCCTTCTTCCAAAAATACACTTTTCATATGACTTGCAATGTTTCTTCTGATTGTAAAGCAGAATTGTTAAGACCTTATTTATTAAGAAAACTAAAATCTGTGGTCTGGGACCTTATTGACAGACTTCCAGGAGACGTTTTTTAGAATGGTTCTTTTAGTATGATAAGCAAACATTTGACGCAAAGGTTTTCTTAGGCACACACAAATGCTTCTGAACTCTAAAGTTAGATTTCCCCTCAAAGTGAGTTGCAGCTGGCTTCCTGTGCTTATCAGTTATACTTATCAAACCCTGGAAAATGGTTTGTATGAGCACTGTGTGCCCCCCATCTCATCCCTGGCCCACAGTAAGGACAGTGTCCACACAATGACTGATGATCAGAAGCACCTGTGCAGGCCAGTGGGTAGGCAGGCATCAGAGTGTCTGAGCAGATGCAGCTCTGAAACCCCACAGAGTAACTCTGGTACTGTCTAGGTCTTTCATGTCTCAGTAAAGCAAAGAGAATTTCCAAATTAGTAATGGTGGCAGCAATAATAACGTCATTACTCTTTTGACTTTTATTCTCAGTTTAACTTGATTATATTATTTAGCCTCCAAACAACCTTCAGAGACAGGAAGGGCAACCACTGTTGCCCCTGCTTCATGTTAAAAATTTAAACAGAGGTTTAGAGGGATGTAAACCCTCCTCTAAGTCACACAGTAAACTGATGGTTGAACTGAGATGAACCAGAGCTTATTCCAGCTCTGTGCTCAGTGCCTTAGAAAGGACTTCCCAGATTAATGTGAATATTTACTTTGCCTCCAGAAGGTGTCTTTTCCACTTGTGAGAGTAGCATCACCATGAACTGATCTCAGAAAAAAATACTCAACTCTCCATTCCTTAGTCTCTTCATTTCTTTAGTGAGGAGGTTGAATGAGATTTGGATTATTGGGATCCCCGGGTGGCATGCAGTTTTTATGTTTAAGAAGTTTCATGCCCAAAAGGCCATTAGACAGGGCCATTTGCCAACCTCCCTATCTTGAGAGAAGAAGGGAAGAGAACTAGCCAGTCTTGAGCATGACCCATGAGCCAGACCCTTTATCCAGTCAAACTCAAGCATGTACTTTGTTCCTGACAGCATGATCAGCAAGACGAGGTCCACAGTAACTAATGGAACTGCCTCCCCTTTAATAGAGAGGACCCCTTTTGTCTTTTATCACCCCTGTTGCTACTGCCCCAGTAAGAGCCCAGTGTAGCCAGTGCATTTGCTCACAGTTTTGTGGGTTTCACTCACCAGCAGCCGTGTTCTTATCCCAGGGAAGTTACAGAAGTAAAAACTCCATTCGAACCCATGGAGCAGTAAACCACCGACATCTCCTCTATGAATGCTGGGCTTCCTGGGGCGTGTGGTATAAATACCAGCCTTTGGATCTCGTAAGGTGAGTTTTTAACTAACTGCAAATATAAAGTTTGCACTGAATGATGAAGGCCAGCAGTCAGCTGGGACGAGCTGATCTTTTTTCCAGAAGAAAAGGTCAGAAGTACACAGCTCTTGCCAAGAGGGCAACTTAGAGGATGTCTGTTGTTCTTGGTAAACTGAACCTTCTCATGATTAGGATGGCATTTCCTTTAAAAAGGCCTTAAGAAGGAGCTAAGGAAGAAGCACTGGATCTAGGACAGGCCTTCTCACAGACTCCCTGTCACATAGCATGTCACCTATGTGACAGTGGTCTTATAGAGAGATAATACTTCTTACAGATATTTGTAACAAAATAGAATATTACTTACTATTGGTTGGGCATCCCTAATTCAAAAATCCAAAATGTTTTCCAGTCCTAAATTTTGGGACACTGATGTGTTGCGACAAGTGACAGGTCACAATCCATATGCAGGCATACTAAAAATATGCAGCTGTGTGTGTAAGATGTCTATGAAACGTACTTGAATTTTGTGTCTTGACTTGGATCCTGGCCCAAAAAGATCTCATTATATGTATGCAAACATTCCAGAATCAGGGGAAAAAAATCTGAAATTCAAAACACTGTCAATCCAAGCCTTTTGGATAAGTGATACCCAGCCCAACTTACGCAAATAGGACATATGTGGTTCTGTTATCCAACGAGATTTCAGGCTTATTTTAATATTAATTTAAAACTAATAACCTTTAAAGTTTTTTTTTAATTTGTAGGTCAAAAGTGTATCCGCTTTTAACCTATTAATAAGTGTGTAGGGAAAATGTATGTTAAATCGTCCATGTTTATCCAACCTTCTGGCATGGCAGAATTATGCTCTGACTTTTCATTACTTATTTAGAGACTGGATATTAAGGTTGAGTGTTAACAATCCATAGTTCACAGATTCCTCATTAAAAAGCAAGTCATGTCTAATTTCTTACAGTAGCTGAATGTGTTTCACTTATACCTGAGCCCTAAGAAAAAAATCAGCCCAGAGGGGAGAAACACAAAGAAAACTCATGTTAGATATAATCCCTCTGGGTAGTTGTTCTCCCTATCAGAACTCTTATTACTTTGTTATCAATCATTTACCCCTGATATTCCAAAGACATTGATGAATTATGTCCCATTCTTTGTGTTGGTAGCAAATGATCCAGATGATATGAGAAGGAAATATTTTCTGTGATATGATCATTTTCCTTTGACCAAATTCAATGCATGATTAACAGAGGGAGAGGAATAAAAGCAAATTATCATCCCAGTCCATATTGCAGGATTACTCTGATTAGAAATTACAGGTCAATGCTGCTGGCAAACCATCTCCATCATGACAGCATTTTAATTAAGATTTTGCAATCAGTCTGGGTGCAGTGACTCATGCCTCTAATCCCAACTACTTGAGAGGCAGAAATCAGGAGGATCACACTTCAAGGCCAGCCCAGGCAAAATTAGTGAGACTTCATCCCAACCAATAAGCTGGATGTGGTGGTGTACACCTGTCATTCCAGCTACACAAGATGCATAAATTTGGAGGATCACAGTCTAGGTTGGCCCAAGCAAAATCACAAGACTGTATTCAAAAAGTAACTAAAGCAAAAAGGGCTGAAGCCTTTGCTCAAGCCTGCCTAGCAAATATGAGGCTCTGAATTTAAACTCTAGCAACTCCAAAAACAAAGATTTCTCATCAGCCAATGAATACTAATGAATTGCACATTGTATATATAATACAGTGGTAAGTACTGAGTTGAGAAACTTGGTTTCCTACAGACCCTGCATACATGAGAAAACTAGAAAAAAGTACCTAACCATGCATAATAATGTCAAATGTGTGAGGGAGGCTGTAAGTTTTGCAATAATTCATATAAATGGAAAGAATGGATGTGGTCAGCAGCCCTGTGCAGTGTCCATAGAGCTGGGTCTGAGAGAGCAGCAGGATTTGAGCTGGCCAGCAGGAAGGGGATGAAAACCCAGGCAAGCCTGGGATAGAAGGAACCTATAGAGCATCTTGGGAAACTCATCTCTTAACTACTCCCTGTCCTGTAGACCTTACTTCCTCCAGATCTCACCTCTGACCCCATCAAAGCATCTCCTCTGCCATTCCTGCTGCCTTCCCTGTCTATGACAAGCCTCCCTCTTCCTATCCAGCCCCTTCCAATCCTCTCTGTGTTCTCATAACAAACTTGTATATAATTATGGTCTTTTACAGAAGGGCTAATGCTCTTCCTGATGTAAAGTAGGAGGAGAAGAAATTTAAATTCAGGTTACACTGCATCAAATGTTCCATACTCTTGACTTGCCTGGTCTGCAATTTAGCAGGAAGGCCAGTATGAAGTAAAATGACTGGGCAAAGTGTTAGCCCAACTCTATTCTATTCTGTTCTGGTTTGGTTTTTGAGTCAGGTCACCTTATGTAGCCCAGGCAGGACTCAAATTCATGATCATCTTACCTCTGCCTCCCTCATGCTGGCAGAGCAGGCATGTAATACCATGCCCAGCCAATGCTTAATTTTACATTGTCACTGTAACTTGCCAAGCTGTTGTTTGTGTCTCAAACAGGCGGTACTTTGGAGAGAAGATCGGGTTGTATTTTGCCTGGCTGGGCTGGTACACGGGTATGCTCTTCCCAGCTGCCTTCATTGGACTGTTTGTCTTTTTGTATGGAGTCACCACCCTGGATCACTGCCAAGTCAGGTATGGAAGAGCTCTTGGAGTACCTGCCTTTGTTTAGTATTTAGTGATGGCTGTTTATGCTTTGCAGTTATTTACACACTTAGCTTTTCACTCCAACTTCCTTCCCAGTCTCTAATGGGAAAATTCAGAAGATTCAATCCACTAGGCTTTCTCTGTCCATTGCCCTTGTAGCTGTGCCCTTTAGCTACATGGAAGCAAAACTACATCTATGGACATACAGGGCCACTATGAACCCATGGAAAAAATCACTTTCATTTACTAGCTAAAAATTGCTTTCAAAGACTGAGTTTTTTCACCTTTCCTAAAACTGATGCCTGCTATTAAAAAAAAAATCCTTTTTCATGAATTCTGTGTTTTTATAAGGACCCTTTAAACCTAGACTACAAAGCCATCTCACCAACTTTCTAGTACCTTCGGGATGGTTCAGGACTAACAATTGCTTCCTTGGTTCCCATAAGAATATAGTTTAAGGTGTTCATAAAGATCTTATTGCAAAGCTGGAAAATGACCTTAAACAATTAATATGCCTTTTATTTTTTACAAAAATAAAAGTGAGTAATTGAGACTTCTACCTACAAAAATATTTTACTTTCTGTGAAATTGTTAATGAGATATACTTTCTTCCAGGACTAAAATCCTTAGTTTTCTGTTTATTCTTTGTTTTATCATGCCCATAGAGATGGAAGCAGCTACTTTTAGGTATCTTGTTTCCATAATTTAGTTTGAAATGCTTCAGATCTGTGAAATGTTAGGAAAGACTTTGGTATAAGTTATAGTCTAACCACCAATGTTTTGTTTCATTTATTTTCCTGAGTCTAACTTATTAATATGTAAAGCCAAGCCACAGCCTCATAAATAAGTAGGCTTATCAAATTGTTAAAATGTGTGGAACTTGTTTACATTCATAATAGAAAAGGCTAAGAAGTTTCCAAGGGCAAAAAAAGTTTAATCTATTGGATCTTATTTATCAGTTGAATATTCTAGTGAAGTTTCAGAGGGGTAAAGTTCCATGTCATCAAACAATTCTTTTGTGTTCCATTTCCAGTAAAGAAGTCTGCCAAGCTACAGATATTATCATGTGTCCTGTATGTGATAAATTCTGTCCATTCATGAGGCTGTCCGACAGCTGCGTCTATGCCAAGGTAATTCCAGATGTGCCATGTTTTAGGTGCCTTGGATTTAACATACACCATCCTGTGGAAAAGGGGGCCACAATGTTTCCTTTGTTGTCTCTAGTGTTTGGTTCTGGAGTTAATGTTGTAGGATGGACTTATCTCCCTGATTCAGTATTTTAATGCAAATATCCTTTTAACATGCATGTTCTTGCCTGGCCCAAAAGACCAAAAATCGTATGTTCTCCCTCATATGCGGACATTAGATCAAGGGCAAACACAACAAGGGGATTGGACTATGAGCACATGATAAAAGCGAGAGCACACAAGGGAGGGGTGAGGATAGGTAAGACACCTAAAAAATTAGCTAGCATTTGTTGCCCTTAATGCAGAGAAACTAAAGCAGATACCTTAAAAGCAACTGAGGCCAATAGGAGAAGGGGACCAGGAACTAGAGAAAAGGTTAGATCAAAAGGAATTAACCTAGAAGGTAACACACACACGCACAGGAAATTAATGTGAGTCAACTCCCTGTATAGCTATCCTTATCTGAACCAGCAAAAACCCTTGTTCCTTCCTATTATGGCTTATACTCTCTCTTCAACAAAATTAGAAATAAGGGCAAAATAGTTTCTGCTGGGTATTGAGGGGGTGGAGGGGAGAAGGAGGGGGTGGAGTGGGTGGTAAGGGAGGGGGTGAGTGCAGGGGGAGAAATGACCCAAGCCTTGTATGCACATATGAATAATAAAAAAATAAAAATTGAAAAATAATAACATGCATGTTCTTAAGAGGTACATCTCCAGATAGCATCACAAGAAGCTGCAGAGAGCGTGATCATTAGTGTCAGAGAGGGTTAGGCTCACATTTTTGTGGTTATTATTTAAAGAAATTTATTTTTATTTTTGGTGACACCTGGAGTAATGATGTAGATCTCATATAGTATTGTAAATTCTGTGAGAATCAATATGTTTTCTTTTTTTTTCTTCTTCTCTTTGTAATCCTATGTAATTAAAAGTATTATTCTGAGAAGGACTGCATAGGTTCCGTGACTAATCCAGGAACCCGGATATCCATATAGTCCTTGAGATACATTGTTATGTGTAGGTTCAGATTTTGACTCTGTTCTTTACCACTTGTTTCCCTGGGAACAAGCTTTTTAACCTCTCTGAGCCTCAGTTTTGTTTTTTTGTTTTTTTATCTATAAAATGGAGATGTAAAAGAATAAGATCTCAGGAAATGACAGCTGGCTTCATTTTCCTCCTCTTAACTGTCATTTTTGGCAACAAGATTCCATTCAAAGCCAGCTCAGCTACTGAGCACTGGGCCAAGTAGACTAAGAATTCTCATCTCTAAAATGTAGGAAATACCTTTCCTCTCTGCCCGACTCCATTGATATGTCATGATGGCTGAAGAAGAGAGTATATCTGAAAGTGCTTAAAAAAAAACCCAAATACATGGCACCATTATTTTCATCATATGTTATTTCATACCCCTGTCTTATGAAAGGCATTACTACAGTAAAATATTAGACACATTCATCAAACTTCTGGAGTGTTTTTGTTTATTTGTTTTTTACTTAAGGGCAGTGTCACTAATGCTAAACAATAGCTAATGTTTAGGTTGACAAAGCCTTTCTGAGACTCACTGCCTATTGGTTTGCCGAGATTCTAGATTTTTATCAAACCTCTGTAATTACTGCAGCTGGAGCTATCTAAAATTACTCTGTTGGCTTTACACAGTTTCCTTCATTTACAATGAGAACATTTGGTAGGCTGCCCAGGAACTGGCCTCTCCCTAATGTGTTTAGCACTGCAGGTGGCCAGCCATTGGCAGAGCCCACACCACAGCAGTCAGCTATGAGTCTAAAAATATTTGGGCTCTGAGTATGTCACAAGAGACCCAAAAAAGCACAACATGCTCTCCCCATCTTTGGAGACTGCATCAGTAGACCAAGTGAATGAGGACAAATTCAACAGAGTAACCCTGGGAAACAGATTTGGTGAGGATCACTAGTCAGTAATATAATTATGTTTAAAGGTCACATTCCTTTGTTTTGGCCTGTGTATTCTTTTCCCTAAAGTTAACTACTTTGGGTAAGGGGCAGAGGCCAAGCCCTCATCTCTCCTGATGAATTACAGAGAGAAGAGGATAATGTGCCCAGGCACCACTGTGTGTTGCCACTCTACCACAGACCTTTCAGATCAGAGTTTCATTTTCAAACCTGCTTAGAACAAAGCAGAATTAGAAGGAGGCACTTTCCCTTGGTTGATTATAATCTGCCAGCCCTGGGTTTTAAAACAGAATGAACTGAGGAGTGAATGCCCTAGGGCAGCTGGCCAGGCAGCACCTACTTCATCAGTGCCTCAACAAAGCAGGACTTTGAGCAATCACTAATACAATGTAGAACACCAACACCTGTGGTTGGGATTATTGTAGCTGATTTCTGGGGAGGGGAGACTGTAGCAAGCTTCTTGAACTCTTGTGCTACTGACCTAACTGGAGGTGACTGAAGATGCAGAAAGGACAAAGGATAGAAGACAGACATGCAGAAAGTTGGGGCCAGGTGCTGGGCGCTCAGATGGAGATCCACAACGCCTTGTTGCTTCTTTTCTCTAATAACTCTTCTTTGACTTCTTTTCTATTCTTTAAAACCTTACTTCTAAAGTCTTCTTTTTCTATCCTTTAAAGTCTCTTTCCTTAGACTCGCACTGTCCCATGTTTTCTCTTTAGCTTTCTTAAAGTCTTGGCCCTCAGACTTGCACTGTTCTCTCTTAAAGCCTTGGTTTTCAGGCTTGCACTGTCCCATGTTTTCTCTAATCTCTAGCATAACTCAGCAGCAGCTGCAGCCTCACAAGCAGCCCACAGGCAGCCAATCAATATCCCCCATCAAAAAACCCTTCCATCCATCCACCATCAAAAAAACCCCTGACATCCTCCTTCAGGAGTCTTATATCCAGTGGTAAACAAGGAGTGGAACAACAGTTCTCAGGGAAAGATGTGACAATGTAACAAGAGAAACCTGCTCTCTTCTCTGAACTTAAACAACTTAGGAAAAGCAGCTGTGCTGCATTTTGCCTCTGGGCTGCTGCTGGGGCGGTGCCAAATGCAGCCTGTAGATCACTGAGCACAGCTGTGCTTATGTCAAGTTCTCATAGGCTTCTCATTATCCACTCCCCACAGGAGACTAATTACCCAAGGACCACTTTTGAGGGGAGGCATGAGTAGAACTTGGTTCTCTGACCAGTGCTTTCACTTTCCCTGATAACTTGTCACCTACCTTTCCCACGGTACCACTGCCATCACACGCACACTCTGTACAAGGCAATCTTCCTTCTCCCTGGGGCTTCTCAAGGTCTTTCTTTTTGTGTTTTATTAGTATCTGGAATCTACTGCCTTGCTTTTTTGTGGTTAAAGCTACTTTACCATCTTACCAGGAACCAGAACTCTCTATCACCTTACCTATTCTGGCTCACATACTCCCAAATTGACAACCACAGCAGAAACTCTCTCCAAATGCTTTCATATGTGTACCATGGTTGTGACCAATACACAACTTATCTCCTCTCTTCTCTCTCTCTCTCTCTCTCTCCCTATCTCTTTCTCTCATTATATGAAATAGATAGGTTCTAGATGTTTCTCTCACTTTCAGTACTCATCTGTCCTATGTTCAAAGAAAGAGAAGGCATAAACTTTTGGAATAATCTGAAATATTTCATACTCTGATGTAACAGGAAAAGATCTGTTTATGCTTGACACATTCTCCAAAGGACAGTAAAGTATACTGTAAGAGAACTGTAAAATACCAAAAAATGTTATGCTATATGAACCTATCAGTTATCATTTCAATTTGACACAAACATTGGTGTGATTAATACTGAAGGTAGAAATAAGTACGGTTTTACAGTAAGAATAGATAGTTTTTCTCTTTGCTGTGGTGCTTGCAAGAATATATTATTCTATCAATAAACTATTTCTGTGTTATGCACAATTAGTAGCTATAGTGATTACCTGAGGCTTTAATAAAGATGGAAGTAGATTTTGTTAATGGTTCTGGTCTCTCACTTTCATAATGTTATAATCCAGACAGCAGCCTGGAAAAGATTTGCTCAAAACTGCACAAACAAAATGGCTGTTTTTGAAGTAAGTGAGACCTTATAAACAGTGTTTGGGAATTTGGGATCCTTTAATAGCAACAGTAACAGCTTCTTGGTCCTAAATATAACTACATCCTTATATATATTGTACAAAGTTTTTATAGTACCCAAAAGGCAATTCTTGGCAGCACTATTGGGACTGCTCTTCAACTACATGATCCCCACATAAAGGAAGCACATTCTCTCTTCCATATCTAAACTAGTTCACAGATAGAAGAACACCCTCTTACTTATGGTCCAAGGAGAACATTTGCCACAGTACCCCTGCGAAACTCATTTTATCATCAAGACTACTTCTACAGACCTTGAAAAAATGCCAATTGCAATACTGTATTTGAAAAATTAGCCAAACTCTGATTCTGTTACTTCCAGGTGACCCACCTTTTTGACAATGGAGCTACTGTCTTCTTTGCTGTTTTCATGGCAGTCTGGGGTAAGTGTTCTATGACCACAAAATCTGAGTTCCCTTCATTATTCTCTATATGTTCCTTTAGAAATTTCACATTGGATGTGAAAGGAAGAAGCCTGAGGAAATTCAGTTAGCTTTTCTATTAGTGACAAGCTGGTCACTAATTCATTTAGTTTGTTTTAAATTGATGTTGTGGAAGAGAAATATGCCTGATGCTTTTCTCTTAAACTTTCAACAACTGCATCAGTGAGTCAAATTCACCTTCTGTTGGAGACAAAAAATAAGGCTTCTAGGACACTAAAAGTTGTGGGGAGAGTTGCATTCCCATCCTAATACAGATACTTCTTTTGGAAGTACTCACCTCTGGCTTTCCTCCAGATTATAGATGAGATGATCCCATATACAAGAACCATTTATGGGGCTGAATTGAGGCATTTGGTACCAGTCAATCTACTGGCACCATCACACCACGTGTGATGGAAACATTCAAATCTTTGGAAACAGTAGGATTTGGTTGAAATCTCAACTCCTCCACTTCCAAGACTGTATAGTTTGGGGCAAGTTACTTAACCCATTTATAGTAAGGTGGATTTAATAATAGTCACATAGTCAAATAATTATGAAGTTTTAATCTAATGGTATGGAAATATCTGTACAAATTCATGGTAAACAGTTAATGACAGCTCCTTCCAAGGAAGAGAATTCATGGAAAAGTCAGCAAAGAGTGGTGAAAGATAAACTTTTTTGCTCTATATGTTCCATTTGTTTTGAATTTTTATACAATGATTATGCATTTATCCTACAACTTGAAATTCCAAAATCTGAATGTTGATGTTACAAACCCCTACTAACTTTAAGCATAGGTTCACATTTTTCCTTATGTCCAAAGTGAGTATAAGAAACTTCCCTTCTCTCAGGGCCCAGCTGAATGTCATCCGCTCTAGTCAGAAGATGTCTTCCTCCTTTGAACTTCCAGAACATTTGGTTTATGTCATACTTAGGGCACTTATAATAATTTGCATACATAATTTATCTCCTCTAGTAGGTCATGGTCATTGAACACCTCATGCATATCTTTTGTATTTGTTGAACAAATGGATGTATGGAAAGGTGGATGGCAAGAAGAAAAAGTAGAAGGGAAAAGAGAAGGAAATTGTCAAAAATATTTACTTTTAATACAATGGGTGCACTTACATGGTCTTTTTTGTTAAGTAGAAATATAAAATCATGTTCTTTTGAGGAGGTTTATTGTATGTATATATGTCTTCCCTACCTCGAGATCATCAAAAGAAACTTGTCCTACTCGCCACAGCTCTGTTGAAAGGACAAGTTTTGAACCCTGTGATTTCAGACCCTTTTAGCCAAGTAGGCATTTGACCCAAGAGCAGTCAAACCACAGTTTAATGAGTGACCTGGGGGACAGCCTGAAGTTCTACCCATACAGGGACCAGTTGGGCCAGCCAGACCCTTATTCTCAAGAATATGAACTGGGAAGTACAGAGAGAGGTAGGAAGTTTGCAGAAAATAGGGACTAGGAGGAATTAGGAGGAATCTGAAGTTATGAGAATCAGAATCTAAAAATAGGAAGAAACAAATAACTAGTGGAAAAGATACAGAATAGACAGTGCAGAAGTCAGTTGGTAGCCAACTGGTAGAAAAAGCAAACAATCCCCCAAACAGAAAGAGCAAAGAGAAAGTTTCACCGAGTCATGTTATTAGTGGAGTTTTTGGTTGAAGATCTAGCGTCTCTTGTGGCTGAGGTCTCTCAAGCTGAGTTCCACATCCTATCTGTGAACAGGCTTGGTCTTTATACCTATAGGGGAGGATTCCTGCCTCTCTTAGTGGACTTTGTGAAAACTGTGCCATTCTTAATGCATCTATAGCCCTAACAAAAAGAAAAAGGGAAGCTAACTACAGCAGAGTTTTGGCTATAGAACTGAGCTCTCAGATCACGAAGACATTTTATCAGTAACCATGATAAGGAAGTATAAGCCATCCAGAGCTTAAGCTTTGCCACATTACAAATGAGCAGACGTCAAACAATGTATTTATTTCTTAAATCAGTGATTACTTTTTTCAGGTCATGGTACACATAGAAAATGAAAATATTTGTGCAGCTTACTGATAGACATGAAAGAGTTTGCTCATGACCAGGAATAGGGCTGCCCTGAGCACCCTAGCGCAGCAGCTCCAAGGGCTGAAGGGGTTTTATTATTCCTAGCTGAACCATCTGCTAGCTCTTCTTTGGCCTACTAATCTACTGTGTAATAAGTTATGCTTCTGTATCCTGGTATTATTCCAGAATAATTGAGGCACAAAACTGCCTTACCCACTTCAGTATTTCTTCAGTTTTAGATATACTTTGACTGAGATAAGTTTCATCCATGCACAGTTTACCTCAGAGACAGTATAAAAGCAAAATGTTAGTATAATGATATTTGGATATAAAGCAGAGATTGCCATCTCTCTCCCAATACCACCATTATTGAAGGGATTGGATCCTTCTTTTCAAGTTGGAATGCCCTATGCTGTGAATGACAAAATAGGCTTTACTTCATCCCTTTGCCAACCTCGGTTGGTTGGTGGCGGCTGTCTGGAGCAGCATGGAGCTGAGAAACTTCTGAGCTTGCAAGTAGGCAGACTGAGAATTTGATAGCTCTGTGCTTTAGAGTATGCAGTAGATTCTGATAGATGTTCTGTAATAAACGTTGGGCACAAGGGAACATTTTAGGGCCACTCCAGGCAAAGAAGCCTGGAATAATTCACCCTCTGAATTGCTTTGCCTTGGCTGACAACTTATTGCTTAAATCCTCTACTATTCCCAGAAATGTACTAGTGTGAGAAAAAGAATGATTTGCCCCAGGTGTTTCTTTGCAGAAAGGGGTATACCTTTTACAGAAATCTAAAATAGCCAGTGATAATAACAGTATACTAGGAGCATATATTTACTGAGCACTTACTACGTGCTAAGCACTGTCCTAAACATTGTATATGTACCATCGCATTTAATCACTGCAGGGATTTGATCTCTGCCTCGAGGGATAGATGAGGAAACGGAGGCAGAAGCTAGAAAGCAGCAAAGCCAAAAGTTAAAATGAGCAGACAGCTTCTGTGCTGTGCTACTAAGATTGGGTACTGTTTGCAACCATTTTCTTCTGCACTGGATAACGCAACGTTCAGATAAGAGACTGTGATGTTCGTCCTGAGTCCCATTTTTGCTGCTGTGAGATGGTGATGTTCTCTAAAAGCATGTCAGTTCTGAGGGAGCTCAGTTTAATGGTCTCAGGATCATCTCTTAGGATTGACAAGTTGCAGCATTTAAGAAAACAAATGCTCTCTGTTCCCAGGAAATTGCTAGATACCGAGGTGATGAGAGCAGCTGTAAGTGGTTTTAAGTTCTCCAAAGGGACCAGGTTGATGTGCTGTTTTGTTGTCTTTGCTTTGTGTGTCACCAGCAAAACAACAACACTCTTTTTGGAACCAGTCTGAGGGCCTGTGTGTTGGTTTTGTTCATGTTCACACATGTGCGCTAACAGGGTTTCCTGAGGATCCTTGAGTTCTGTAAACCTAGGGCTCTCTGGACCTCATCTACAGTGTGGCTCTTCCCTCAGTATTCGTTTTTGTTCAGAAGGATTCAGAGGACAGAATCATTATGAATTAAATTTCTCTCCCTAAGGGGAGGAAAATGAGTCATTAGGGAACTAGATGTTGGCAGAGGCCTGTCAGAAAGCAGGTGATAGCCCTCTGTTCTTTGTTTCTAGTGCCTCAGATTGCTTTACTTCCCCTCTCTTTTTTCATTTTCAGTGTTGCCAAAAATTAAATTACCCCAGTAAACAAACAAAGCGAGGTCCTCAGAGCTCTCCAATCAAAATGACAAGATAGTGATTATTTTAGTGCACATTCAAATATTTTGTATGCTTCTGTTAGTAATTGGCAAATTAATTATGTCTAATTTTCTTAAGTAATTTTATAATACTTGGCCTTTTGTGTCTGGAGATTTATGCTAACTTTATCTTTCATCTTACCTATATGTCCAACAAAAATGTGATTGTATATTCAAAAAAAAGAAAAGGTATGTGCTTACTAAAGGCCTCCCATGTGCAGGTGCATTCATAGGATACCTCACCCATTTCTTATAACCCATCACAAAGAAATTACCATTCCCATTTTATAGATGAGAATATTGAGGCTCAGATAGGTTATACAGCTTGTCCAAGATTATCCAATAGCCAATAAGTGGGAGAGTCTGAATTTTAAACCAGATCTTGTCTGTTTGATCCCAGAGTCATTCCAAAGTCTCCCAAGCCATGCTTGTTGATTAATATCTCAGCAGACAGCAAATTCATTTTCACTGGCCCCTGGGCACATGAAATTGATGTAGTCCTATTTTCAAAAATCCCATAGTTTATAAGAGAGAGTGATAATTAAAATACAGGTTAAATCCAATTTTTAATGGGGTAGTGAGTGTTCATGTAATCAATTTTCTAGGCAAAAGGAAAAGCAGAAAAGGTTCACACAAGAAGAGATAATGGAAACAAATTTCACCTTTGACAAAGGAATGGGGTCAGGGGGAGGTGTGAAGAACATTCTAAACTGAGAAGAGTATAAGCAAAGGTCCAAGAGAAAGAGTTGGATGTTCAGAGTGATAGGGACATAGTGTGTGTGAGAGGGGTAAGGCTGTTGTAACAAACACCACCAACTGGATATCTCAAAACAAGAAATTTATTCTCTCATAGTAATGGAGCAGCCCCAAATCCAGGTGTCATCAAGTATGACTCCTTCTGAGGGCTCAGAGAAGGATCTATTCCATGCTTCTTTCCCAGTTCTGGTGATGATCCACGATTCTTAACATTTGTTGCCTTGCAGATCCAGCACTCCAGTCTGCCCCTATCTTCACCTGTCATTCTCTTTATGTCTTGGTATGGCTGTTTTCTTATAAAAACACTAGTCATATTATACTCACAGCCCAGCTTACTCCAATTATCACTTCACCTTAACTAATTACATCTGCTTTGGCCCTATTT